TAAAGTGCCTGAGTAGAGACAAAAAACTAAATTACTTTTCCCTTCCAGCAGCAGAGAGCTGAATTTCAGACACCAGGGACAGCACTTTGGAAGGAATCTAAGCACTCGCCCCAATCCCAGAAAGCAAGGAAACGGGGTGCAGTGGATGAAGTTACTCATGACAGCATTGTCCAAGACCTCGTATATTTCTCTGGCTAGTAGGTTTTAATCCTCCAGATCAGGGATCGGCAACCTTTGGCACGCGGCTCACCAGGGTAATGGCACCGTCCCAGGCCAATGGGGGCTGTGGGAAGCGGCGCGGGCTGAGGGATGTGCTGGCCGCCGCTTCCCGCCGTCCCCATTGGCCTGGAGTGGTGAACTGCGGCCAGTGGGAGCTGTGATCGGCCGAACCTGCGGATGCGGCAGGTAAACAAACTGGCCCGGCCCGCCAGAGTGCTTACCCTGGTGGTCCGCGTGCCAAAGGTTGCCAATCCCTGCTCCAGATGGTCTGATAATTTTTTGAAGCCTGGTACATCACTAGACTTGATCGGATCATGAAATTTTCAACAGCAAAGAGGAAGTTTCTCTTCAACTTTTATCTCAAGAATAGAGCTTAACAGTATTGCCAACCCCAAAGGTTCAAACATTAGGAGCCAAGACTCAAAAAGGCTTGAGATTGGCTTAAAATCATGAAATATAAAAAGATATTGGCGTTCTTTTTATTTGCTTTCTGGTTTCTCAGCCAGCAGAGCATATTCTTTCCACATTTGCAAACTTTATTCCACAACTATGAGGGCTAAAATCTTTCTTTTTTAGATGGACGCAGTAACTATAAGCACTGGAGTTATAGCTTATGACAGAAAACTCAGGGTGCTTCTACACAGCCAAAAAAATTGCAGCAGTCTCAGAACCCAGGTCAACTGACTTGGACTCACGCTTCAGGACTAAAAATAGCAGTATAGACTTTCCTGCTCTGGGTGGAGCCTGGGCTCTCAGACCCTCCCACCTTGCTCAGTCTCGGAGCCTGGGCTCCAGAGCATCTACAATGTTGTTTAGCTCCATAGCACAAGTCCAAGTCAGCTGACCCGGGCTCTGAAACAGGGATGACCATATTTACCAGAGCTGACTTTTACCAAGCAAAATCATGGTTTTTACCCAGAGAAACTAGCTAGAAAAGCCTTAAACTGGGACTATTTTTAAAACTGTTTCATTAAGTTTACATTTAGTTTTAGCTACACATTAAAACTGTGGTTATATATGGCTATAGATTCACAGATTAATTTAGGGCTGTACAAATAAAAGTAAAACTGCAGTGGACATAATACTAATATATGTAATTATAATACTGAAGATCAGAATGTCTGTTTGATAAACTAGTTATCTGTAGACACGGACCACAATTAAAAAAAAAAACAGAAAAAAATCTTCTACACATAATTCTTCAAAATGTGAATGAAAAATGCAACTACCACAATGGCACCTTCTCATTGTGTCCTATTATATCGGACGTTCGCACTGTGATTACCAGCCATCATAATAAGGTAAACTGTCATATCTGGTATAAACTACAAACATTTGGGAAAAGGTTCCATTTGAACACAAAAGAAACAATGTATCATAGTGGCTCCCCTGTGTGAAGCTGTTGGTAGAAGGCAAGCTGGCTAAGTGACTTCATGCTACCATTTGGGATAGTCTAACAGATTCAGACTCTTTCCCCAAATTCCAACCCCTGTAAGTCTTGGAGTGTTGTGCAATGATTGCAATTTCTTGAAAGGGAGGAAGGCAATCTATACTACTTTGTTAGCAGCACCAGTTGACTGTTGAAGCAAGACAGGCAGCACTCAAAGCTCTGGGGCTGTCTTTCTGGGTGAAGCAGGATTCCAGTGCTAGCCTGAGGGAAGTGATGTGTAAGAGCTCCTGCTGCAGGGACTAGCATAGAAACAAATTTAGGTAGCAGGAAGGCAGCCTATTGGAAAGTGGAATGGCTATTCAACAATAAGGTAGTGTATGTTATAGTGGACCACAAGCTAAATATGAGTCAACAGTGTGATGCTGTTGCAAAAAAAGCAAACATGATTCTGGGATGTATTAACAGGTGTGTTGTGAGCAAGACACGAGAAGTCATTCTTCCGCTCTACTCTGCTCTGGTTAGGTCTCAGCTGGAGTATTGTGTCCAGTTCTGCGCACCGCATTTCAAGAAAGATGTGGAGAAATTGGAAAGGGTCCAGAGAAGAGCAACACGAATGATTAAACGTCTTGAGAACATGACCTATGAAGGAAGGCTGAAAGAATTGGGTTTGTTTAGTTTGGAAAAGAGAAGACTGAGAGGGGACATGATAGCAGTTTTCAGGTATCTAAAAGGGTGTCATAAGGAGGAGGGAGAAAACTTGTTCACCTTAGCCTCTAAGGATAGAACTAGAAGCAATGGGCTTAAACTGCAGCAAGGGAGGTCCAGGTTGGACATTAGGAAAAAGTTCCTAACTGTCAGGGTGGTTAAACACTGGAATAAATTGCCTAGGGAGGTTGTGGAATCTCCATCTCTGGAGATATTTAAGAGTAGGTTAGATAAATGTCTATCAGGGATGGTCTAGACAGTATTTGGTCCTGCCATGTGGGCAGGGGACTGGACTCGATGACCTCTCGAGGTCCCTTCCAGTCCTAGAATCTATGAATCTATGTTTTTGTTCTTTTCTAAATTATTCTGTCTATTTTTATTAAAAGTATTAAAAATCAACATGTCTGAAGATCTTTGCGACAGATGACAGAAGTTTGCACATGCAAACTGAAATTATGGAGATTTAATACATACTGCACAGCTTTATTAGGTGTCAGCAATTAAAAAAACCCAAACATGTTGTTCTTTGCAGTGTTATAAACCAAAGTGGAAACAATACATTGGTCAGCTGAAGTCACCTCTGACCTTTCTGTCAATGGCAACTTTATCGCTATATCATTCCTCCCACCTCAGCTGAGGTTACTTTTGTCCCCTGAATAAATGCAGCAGCAGCTGCTGACCATTTTTATACAGTGCTGCCTAGCAAAACTTTTGTTCTCTTTCCACTACTGTCACTGCTTCAAAAAACATTACTACGCATGAGAACAGAAGCTAAACCATTCACTAGTGGTCTCAATCCCCAACTAAGTTTTGCATTCACTGTGGAGAAATGTGATGTGTGTATTGCTCTTATTTTTCCTCAAACAAGTTAGAAAACAGTTTCACTTAAAAACTGTGTTGAGCTAAACAAAACTCTTGTAAAATCAGTGAAATCTAAAATACAAGCTGTACACAGACTGGAAGGCCCAACTGCACTGTTTAATCCCAGAGGACAAATAATATCATTTGTCTAGAATAGGATGAAAGAGTATTCTAAGTACTACCAGGAAACTGGCTGTGTGCCAAAGGATCCCATTTTTTGCTTCAGAACCATCAAGTCCAGCATCCCCTCATGTAGAGGTTTATTACAAGACATTTGAAACACATACATAATGTATCTTTGTTTCTATTGTAGTAATCAATTACAAAGTGCCTTAGCAGCAGGTGACAAATTTCTAAATAAATAAATAAATCTTCTGATCCTGAAGTATCTACGCTAATACACATATTTAGATATGCAGATCTAGCTCTCTAGTTAAAATACATTAAGAACTACTCTGTTTACTTGACACACAACTTTTGTTCCACTAAAACAGTGGCGCTCAACCTTTCCAGATTACTGTACCCCTTTCAGGAGTCCGATTTGTCTTGCATACCCCCAAGTTTCACCTCACTTAAAAATTATTTTTTTACTTTTATTTCTGATTTTGTAAGCAAGTGTCACCACATGCTATTACTGAAAAATTGCTTACTTTCTCATTTTTACCATATAATTACAAAATAAATCAATTGGAATACAAATATTGTACTTACATTTCAGTGTATAGCACATAGAGCAGTATAAACAAGTCATTGTCGGTATGAAATTTTAGTTTGTACTGACTTTGCCAGTGCTTTTTATGTAGCCTGTTATAAAACTAGGCAAATACCTAGATGAGTTGATGTACCCCCGGAAGACCTCTGTGTACCCACAGGAGTATGCGGACCCCTGGCTGAGAACCACTAAAAGCTTGATTTAATGAAAATACAGAGCCATGACCTTATATCAGTGGTTCCCAGACTGGTGTTCACGAAATGTTACAGGGGGTTCTCGGGAAAAAATTCGCTAATGGCGGACAGAGCTGTCGCTAGGAACTGCAGGCAGCACGGGGCCAGCAGCCTGGAGCCCCTGGACTTCCAAGAGCTAAGCAGATCAAAGCAAGCATATCTATCACACTAAGGAGATTTAAACTTCAAGACTCCTTATAAGAAATTGAAAGGGAGGTGGATATTTTTTGCTACTTTTAAAATTAAATAGGCAGCTAGTATTGCTTTTAAAATTATTATTATGAACAAGTTTAAGCTTTGTTGTAACGTGCGTTGCTTGGCTGGACTGCTCAAGACCTGAATGATTGTGTAGGAGGAACTCTTTGAGTTGGCTTCTTAAATACCTTCATGCTGTTTCACATCTGATACTCCTTGATGAAACATAGGAGCCTTGTCTTATAACATACTTATTCAAAGTGATACAAGCTACAAAAGTCAGATCTTGGAAGAGTGCTGCCATTTTCATAATATAATAAAAATACTATAATGATAAATAGTAATGAATAATAAATAGTGTGTAATAAGCATGTCATAAAAACAAATTTTATATTTCCAAGATCACTGCTTTTATAATTTATACTCAGGTAAAGGAGAAAATCCTGGGGAATATTCATTTTTAGGAGGGGGTTCACGAGACTTGACATTTTAGTGAAAGGGGTTCACAGGTTGTTAAAGTTTGGGAACCACTGCCTTATATCATTTACTGCATTTGAGCCTAAATTCTGTCCTCGCATATGAATAAATTCTTCCATATCCCATTAATGTAATCTCCACCCAAGCTATCAGGACTGAAATTTACATTTATTTGCTTTATTTATAGTTTGGGGGCAACTTCACATACCTCTGTATTTGAATAATAGGTATTCCATGATGACCGTAATGACTCCTGTCCTCCAATATCCCACATAAGGAAATGGGTATTTTTTACTACTATTTCTTCAACATTGCTTCCTATGGTTGGAGATGTGTGGACCACTTCATTCATTAAGCTAAGGGAAACAACATCACACCACAAAAAAAAAATTAGCAATATCTTGAAACTTCCTGATGCATCAGTTGTATATTGTGACAAGTTTGTTATAACAAAAGTAAATCATTTTTGTTCCCGTAAAGCAATTATTAAAACAGTCTTTTTCATCTAAATTTTTATTAAAGAAACATTATTATTTTATTAAAGATATATAAAGACATCTTTTGTGTGAAAGATTTATTCAGTTTGGGTGCATTTTATGAGTTACAATCAATGAGTGAAGAGTCTGCCCTTTTATCTGCATTTGTAGTAGTACATAATGTAGATAGGGATAAATAGGGTATACAATTATACATGAACATCCGGTACAGAAAAGTAAAGCTTAAATCTGACTAACACTTTGTTAATATTAGTAGCCATCTAAAAAATGTACTCAAAACAAAACAAAAGCTGCCATGATCCAACAGGTCACCATCACTAAAGACAGTATTTTTGAATCTTGCTAGAATAATCTGAAGATAAAGTTGTCAGAGCACCTGGAAAATGTAAAGGTTGTCTGATTTCACAATAGCTTCTGAAAGAAATTCTGTATCTGCAGCTGAAAATACCTCAGTACCAACTTTAAAACAATGGTTTGTTTTGTTAATGTAGAGTACAGAAGAAAAGGTTTCAGGGAAACACTCTATTTCGTTCTATCTAAATGTATATACCACTTCCATCATCGTAGTAATTGTGCACTTCCCAAGTAATTACAGATTTATCCTATACCCTCTTGCGAGGTAAGGAAGAGTTTGTTTTGATTTTAACTACAGTGACATCACCAGACCCATAGCCTTCTATTGCAGGAGCCATAGAAGCATGATGAAATATTATTCTGAAGGAACTGTTAGTTCCACCAGTGACATGACTGACTAGTTGGGAGATGACATTTTTTTTTTTCCTTTTGGAAATAGTGGTCTGTATGTGGGTTTTGCAAACTGACTAAAAATAAAGGCAGATATGGATTTTAAATTAAGTTTCTTTCTGGAAGCTTTCACCAATGTGTGAAAGGATTTCACCACTCATCAATTACCAAAGATCTCAATTGCAGAAGGATTACTGATTCATTCTTTGTCCTCGAGAACACTCTGTGATACTCTGTGCTGAGTATCTGATTAACATGAAGCTCAACTCTAAACAATTCAACACCTGTATCTATTTTATTACTGTATACACTAAACTTAAGTATTATTGAATGACAAATACCTTCCTTAGACAAGCTAAGCTGGGTTCCCCAGAGTTTTCAGTCAGGTCCCATACATTAATTGTGAATGAAAGTATCAAACAAACAGAAGTTTTAAATAGCTCATATACTTACAACTGGTAAAGAATGGTGGTCTTTCCTGCATTGTCAAGTCCCACTATTATTACTTTGTGTTCTGCAAAACAAAAAAAGGTGAGATACCATTAGCCAACTATTAACCACTTTTCTGATATTAAAAAAAAGCAAAGACCCCTTGTCTGTTTTAGGTGAACAGCCTGCACAGAGTATGGAAGATTCCCGACTAAAAAAAACCACAAATCAGTATCTCCAGAAAGAGTTGTTATACTTACAAGGGACATAAGTTAAGTCCATGGTAAAGTTTTATTTTAAAGGAATGATTATTGATTAAAAAAAAAATTGTTTCATACAAAAGAGTAGCATTAATACAAAATTAAGCTTGAGAAATAAAGTAGTCATAAGAACATGGAGACTGCACGTTGACTTGCAAACTTGGTTCTGCCAATGCACTTTTTTAGATATGTTCAGTTTGCATGAAAATTATTAGAATAGGTGTCACAAAGTGAAATATCTTATACATTTTATATTCAGAAGTTAAACCAAATATGAAGACTGTATGTAATTTAAGACTTAGATCTACAAAGCAAGACAAAAAGAAATGGTGTGTGTGTGAGAATATCAGTACTTCAAGTTAAGAACACAATTACAGAATGACCAGTATTTTAGTAATATCTAAAAATAGATCAAAAACTAAAGCTGAATATTTACAGCTGGCAAACTGAAGAAGTTGGCAACTCAACTAATTTTCTTGCAACTCACAAATCTAAATACTGCATATAATATTATGTTAACCCACCATATAAGGCTGAACGAGATGCCTCAGTTTATTGACTGCATATATTGATAAATTATTTAAGACTATGAAGATACCATATTTAAATGGGTAAGTATAAGGGAGAGAAGAGTTCAGTTTGAACTTTCTGCTCTTAGCACTGCAACTCCTGAACCCCAAGCGCTTGACCACTTAACAGTTACTCCTGAGGGCAAAAAATTAAAAACTCTGCACACAATAATTCAAAATTCTGTAAGTTTTATTTGTCAATAAATAAATACAGCATTGCAGTGGGGAGCACAATCTACTGGCTGCACAAAGGTGGGAAATCACCCCCAGCCTTCCCATCCTGGGGACACGGACTCAGTGGTGAGGCTGCACCCAATCCTGACACAGCTTAAGGCCTGGGCCTGCCCCAGAGGGGTCTGGGTGTGGGGAGGTTCAGCAGAGGGGTCATGAATTGTGCGCACGCGCCATGGTGCAAAATTCCCCCAGGAGTAAACAGTGATATGCCAAATGCTGCATTAATACTTTTGCATGCTATTGTACATATATAAGACTATTCATAGTCTTAAAATGGCAACTATTTTCTTCACACTAAGAAAAAAACCCACAACGACAGGGGTTCTCAAACTGGGGGTCAGGACCCCGCGAGGTTATTACATGGAGGGGTCACAAGTTGTCAGCCTCTACTCCAAACCCAACTTTGCCTCTAGCATTTATAATGGTGTTAAATATATTTAAGTGTTTGTAATGGGGGGGGGGTGTCGCACTCAGAGACTTGCTATGTGAAAGGGGTCACCAGTACAAAACTTTGAGAACCACTGTACAACGACAAAGGGAGCTACAAAGCAGGTTAAGTTACCACAAGTCTTCTGTTTTGATTTTTCCACTATGCATGTGCAAAGTTGGATTGGAAAATACAGTAAAGGGTATTTTTACTCTGTTCAAAACAAAGCAGAACCATGAACAGATGAAGAGTTACAATAGAATTAAAACTGAAACTTAACTATGGGGTACCAACATGTGCTTCAACAAGTCATATTTAAAATTTTAGTCCATGTATTCAGAATATCACATGGATGGAAAGCTACAGCTTACTCTGAAAAAATGGAACATACTCATTAGATTTATAACAAAGTATTATAATCTTTGATATGCCTTCGAATTTTAGTTATGAAAGTTAAATATTTTTTCTTAAAAATACTCAACTAGGACTATTAAATATTTATTACATCTACTGTATAAGGAACAAATAGATGCAGCCCGTCATAATAGAATGGTACTTCATTAGACTTAATAAGAGGCCATCATGTGGCAATGAGTTACATAGTCCAATTATGCAGTGTGAAAAATTATTTCCTTTGAGCCATTTTAAGTTTGCCATCTTTGAGGCCTGGTCTACGCTACAGAGTTGGGTTGACATAAGGCAGCTTAAGTAGACCTAATAATGTCTGTGTCTACACTACCAGGTCCCTCCGGCCGACGTAACTCGCCTGCTAGGTCAACTTAATTACTCCACCTTCGCCAGAGGCGTATGCATAAGTTAAGTCGATATAATTAAGTTGACGTAGTGGCAGTGTAGACACTGCGTTGCTTATGTCAACTTAACTCACTTCCAGGAGGTGTCCCACAATGCTCTACTGTGACTGCTCTGGTCACCGTTCTCAACTCACCTGCCCAGCAGCCAGGTACACAGGGAACAGCCCCTCCCGTTAAAGGACCGGGAACTCTGAATTCCCATTTTCTGTTTGTTTGCGGTGGAAAGCTTGTCTGCCCAGCTGAGCACACCAGCTCCATGCTCCAAAAGCACTCCTGGCCTGGAATACACAGAAGGTGGTGGATTCCTTGGGTGTATGGGGAGAAGAGCTGTCCAGGCACAGCTCAGATCAAGTTGTAGAAATATGGACATCTATGAGATCTCTTGGGAGTATATTGGAGAAGGGCTACCAGAGGGATCGGCAGCAGTTCCAAGAGAAAGTAAAGGAGCTGCATCAGGCTTACTAGAAGGCAAGGGAGACGAACAGTCACCCTGGTGCAGCACCGCAGACATGCCACTTTTACAAGCTGCAGCATGCTATACTCTGCGGTGACCCCACCATGACCCACAAGAGCCACATGGATACCTCAGAGTTGGAGTCTTGGGCCATTGCAGGAAAGATTGAGGAGGTGGTGCTGGACGAGGAAGGAGGAGGAGGAGGAAGATGGGAGACAGGCCTGAGGTCCCTTCCAACCCTGATAGTCTATGACTCTAGGCAAGCAGGGGATCCACTGTCCTGGAGAGTCAGGAACTGTTTATAACCCCAGAGCAGTCCAGCCAGTCGCCGCAATGCAGCGTGGCCGAGCGTGATGCCAGAGAAGGAATCTCTAGTGAGTATGCACTTAGCATTAATATTGTGGGATCACATATTCTTATTTGCTAATTTTTATTTAAATAACCAGTGGAGGTAAAGCAGCTATCTGATTCTCATTGTCTGGACCAGCGAGGCAGAGGGTACCCTGAGAATTAAGTACACAGGGATGTCCCGGGAATCCTTCATAGAGATCTCAATACTTTGTGGAAGGTTCCTCTGAAGGGTGCCTTATTTCTTCCACTGTAATAGGACACTTTCCCAAGCCACTCCAGTATTAATTTGGCAGGCATCATCACAGTACATAGCACAGGAGCATAAGGACCTGGTCTGTACCTGGACGCAGGCAGCAGCTGTTCCCCTGCCACCTCTGTTACCCTCAAGAGCGTAATATCAGCTAGGGTGACCTACAGGAGACTGTGGTAGTATTCATTTCAATTGCTCAAGCCGCAAACACTAGTGTCTGTGTGCCCCCGCCCAGTCATTTTTCACCTCTTCCCTTCCTCCCCATAGCTCCAGAACCTGGGGTGCCAATGGGACAGGGGCACTGGAATCAGGTGGGCCATCACTGCCCACTGTTTCACATGGCTGTGGTTTGGGTGGCAGGGGTCAACATTTCCCCCACAAACTGCAAGCCTCAGGCAGGCGGGGTGCAGGGACATGGGCCAGGGGGCTGCTCTCACGCACACCATACCTCTGCCCGAGGCAGGTGGAGTGTCTGGGCCTCCCCACAGTGGCCCGGGCTCCATAGTAGGCGCTTACCTCTGCCTGGATCCAGCTTTTGGACTGGGCATAGGGTGGTGCCTTGGGTGCCAGAGAGCAGCAGCAGCTATGGGGGGAGGTTAACAAATATGTTGTGGTGGCTATAGCAAGCAATCCCCAGTGATGCCCCTGTCAAAGCATGCAGTCTGGGAGGGGGAACGCTGGTCCCTGACCTCCACACTATGCCCATGTTAACAAGGGTAGCGGTATGGCCCCTGGGCCACTATGATCCCATTGTGGGTTGCCCCCCCACTTCTGCAGACATTCCAATGCCCTTGTCCCCCAGCTGTACTCATCACGGCTGGGATGGCAAACCGGTTCAATGAGTATCTTGTAGAAATAAAAATGTTCTGCTTCACACTTGCATGGATTCTGGGGAGTGATTTTTATATAGCAAATCTGCACTGGATACTGGGTCTGCACTGACAATTGTTCCTTTGTGCTTTGCATGTTTTACAGCTGAAAGTGGGGCCTTCAACTCTTCCTCCACACCGTCAGAGAGGCTCTCCCAGATAAGACAAAGGCGAAAGAGAACGCGCGATGACATGTTTAATGAGATAATGAATGCCTCTGGGACAGTGGACACTGACCAGAGGGTGTGGAGGATTACTCTTACAGAAAAAAAAAAAAATGGACAGTATGAGCAGGACAAAAGCCCAGGAGAATAAGTGTGGCATGCAGCAGGAGATGTTGGGGATTCTGAAGGAACAAACAGACATATTAAGGTGTCTGGCTGACCTCCAGGAGAGACACCTTGAAGCTCCACGTCCCCTGCAGAATGGCATTCCAACATCACTGTACTCCCATTCCCCCCCCCCACACACACACATTCCACTAGGTATGGGGGGCCAGTGCAATATCCTTTCCACTCAACCCTGGGGGGGTGCACAGAATCACAGCCGCACATACACGGATGCGTGACAGGCAAGGCCGGTGTGTTTCTGAACAGAAAGGGGAGAAACACATTCATCTTATTTCCAAGGTTTAATTCTGTGTCACATATTTTTGTTTACATGTGTGTGCAATAAAAGTCAATTTCTTAAAAATGAAATCTTTACTAATTCAAAGCACGGGGGGAGTAGGGAGGGATAGGGAAACTGAGGCATGGGGGGAGTGAACGAGTTCGCACAGAGCCGGAGTTGTGGCTAGATCCCAGGAGCCCTGGCTCCCATCCCCTCCACATTGTAAGCAGTAGGCCACACTCCCCTCAGTCATGACAACCACTGTGGTGGCTCTCCATGAAGGATGAATTGGTGGGTTGCAGCCCATTCCCCGGGCATCAAGTGCACACTGCCCTCCCTCCCCCTCTGCGGTAGTGCCTTTGGAGGGGCCAGGAGCTGAATGGAGTGTGGGGTTGTCTCTCCAGCAGTAGGTTGGGAGGCAGCTCTAGAGGTTCTAGTTGGTGAGTGTTGGGAGTCATTGACAGAGGAAAGCAAGAAATGTATTTCCAGTGTTACATTACTATACACACAGCAGCCACAGCAATGTTCAGACTATTGACACGCACAAGATAAAAAAGCAACACGTCACTGTGTGTCATTAATAAAATGGGTTTTCAAAAACTCCCTGAGACGCACTGCTCCATGCTGAGCTCTTGTAACCCTGGTATCCGGCTGCTCAAAATTAGCAGACGGCTTATTCACCTCCATGCCCCAACCCTGTGGAAACTTCTCTCCCTTTGCTTCACACATATTATGAAGCATGCAGCAGGCAGCTACTATCATGGGAACATTTTTGTCACTGAAGTTTAACCTACTGAGCAAACTGTGCCAATGACGCTTCAAACAGCCAAAAGCACATTCAACTGCCATTTGGACTTGCTGAGCCTATTGTTGAAGTGCTCCTGTCCAGGTGTCCGATGTATGGCTTCACAAGCCATAGGAGTAAGGGGTAGGCTGGATGTGCCAGGATCAGTATTGGCATTTCAACATCTCTAATGATGATTTTGTTGCCCAGTCACCCAGTTTTGAGAAATCCTTCTGTTGCTCTTCGCAGTCTGCTTTGAACTTAACTATCTTGAGTAGTTTTGTATCATCTGAAAATTTTGCCACCTCACTGTTTACCCCTTTATCCAGGTTATTTATGAATATGTTGAATAGGACTGGTCCCAGTACAGACCCCTGGGGGACACCACTATTTACCTCTCTCCATTCAGAAAACTCACCATTTATTCCTACCCTTTGTTTCCTATCTTTTAACCAGTTACCAATCCATGAGAGAACCTTCCCTCTTATCCCATGACAGCTTACTTTGCAAAGACACAGACTTTGAAAGTTCGACCCTTTCAATTTGACACAGCCAACATTACATTATTTTAACAGCACTGTTTCCCAGCTGATCGCAGTTTGGATGCACAGTTTCACAGAATAGGACTCAGAAGGAGAGGGGAACCCTAGCTAGTGAGACCTTGAAAGCCTCTGCTGTTACAGTGATGAGAAAATAAGTTTGAAAGAATAGGGTGCATTAGCCCACCCTCTACTGAACTCAACCTCCCACCTTCAGTGCCAGCCTACGATACCCGCTCACCCTGGGCGTCCCCCCCCCCCCTGCCCCCCCCCCCCCCCCCCCCCCCCATGTGTTCTCCCCCCCCCATCCCAGCCTACGCCCCCCCCAACCCTGTGTGTTCCTCCCCTTCAATGTCAGCCAACGACCTCCCCCCTTGACTGCCAGCCTACGACCCCCCTTCACACACACTCCAGGCACTCCCCTCCCCCCAACTCACAGAGATAACCCCCCACCTGCTCCTTCAACACTCGAGGGGCGTCCCGACCATTCCCCATCACAGCCGGGATCCCAGGCCTCCCCGGCAGCTTCCCAGCGGCTCCCGCAAGCCGGCAAAGCTCCGCCCCCGGCGGTCGCTGCTCACCCTGGTCACAGAAGAAACTCCACAGCTTAGCAAATATCAGGCCCATGGCTAGACTAGGCTCGGCCGGGCCCGTCCCGCGGCCGGACGACGTCACGCTCCGAGCGTCCCCACGACACAAAGGGGCACGGACGCCGCCAGCCGGCGCTAGTGACTCGACGGCAGCGGCTACGGCTGGCCGCGGACAAGGGACAGAGCCCAGAGAGCCAAGTAGGCGGAGCCACCCTCTAACCCGCCTCTCCAGCCCGCCGCTGAAGCCAATGCCTTCCCCGACCGTCTTGCGTCACTGCGTGGCCCAGCAGTAACGTCATTACGCACATTACCTCCTCCCTTACGTGAAAAAAATAGTACGTGGCGTCACCCTCAGCCGTGGGGCTCGGTGTTGCGTTCGCCTCCTGCCCGCGGTCCTAGTGCCCCGGCAAACAGCGCTTCTGTTCCCCAACCTGGGCATTGGTGAGTAACATGTTTTGAATGAAAATTCCCGGTTCCCCACGTTGAGACACGTCACTCACCAATGCCCAGGTTGGGAGTTTTTCCCCGGCTGTGGGAAACGTTTAGCGCTAGGTTGGGCGAAGTTGGCCTCACGCTGGAGAAGCACTGGCAGCTGACCAATCCCGAGCGAGGCTCGGGCGGAGTTTTGCGCCGTGCTCCGGCAGAGGCGGGACTGAGGCGGAAGGTAGGCGGGAGTGAAAGGCCGTGGAGCGCTGCTGGGGGTGGGGGCTCCGTAGTCACTGTTGGCGAAGGGGCAGTAGGACCCCCCCCCCCGGCGCGGTCGGGAGGCTGGAGCCCCCCCCACCGGGGAGACGCGCTTCCCCCCCCGCGAGCCGTCTCAGACGCCGCCTTCCCCCGCGGGCCCCAGGTTTTCCGCGGTGCGGAGCCCAAAGGCGTCGCGCGAACGGCTCCCTGTCCGGCGGACGGGCGTTGCTGCTGCTCTGGCAGGTCTAAGCAGAGCCGCTGCGGGCAGTGCGCGGGGCCCGCTGTGGAGTAGCTGTCCCCGGAGCTGCCGGAGTATGGACGTGACCAAGCGCCATCTCCGGGGCGGGGGATGCTCCGTGCTGCCGTTCGCTAGTGTTACCCGGTGCAACCCCTCCCGGAGCCCTGGGCACCGAAAATCCTTGCTGCTTTAGCAGGACCGGCCCGGTACGTGTGCTCCACCTGCTCGCTGTAGGGAGGGCCCTGCCGTGCGTAGTCTGGCCGGGAGGAACTGCCCCGGACACTTCCTCTTCACTGGGCTTTTCAGAGGTATTTAGGCACTTAAAGAGGCAGATAAACACCGAGACTTCCCCCCCCCCCCACTTTGATTTAAACGGGAGTTGCGGGCCAAGGCATTTCTGAAAATTCCACTTGTTGCCTATCTGCATCTTCAGGGGCCTGAAAACGTGGCCATTGAACAAATAGCCTGTAAGGGATTACAAAAATAAAAATATCGATGTAACTAGTTACATGGCAATACAAACACTTCTATCTTGTCACATAGCTCAGCAGTTTCACTATAGCTGCACATTTTGGTATTAATTCAGTGAACCCTTGGTTACTTTTTTGGCCTGTTTTTGGAGGGAGTTTATGCGTTCCATACCATACATATAGGGGATGAAAGCAAACCATTTTGCCAATGGAATATCATCATGAAATACTATACCTAATGCTAAACCAGATCAGACTTATTACCACTTTTCTGTGGAGACGTGTCTGGAAGTTTTAGGTCACTTATACTATGAAAATATTCATATCCGCATCTTTATATACAGTGTTCATACTGTAATGCTATTAAGTGGAGACCTGAGTTCTACAAGTAATGTTTGCAGAGTTGATTTAAATTGGTGCTTAATTGTGTTTTGAGAATCTGTGTTTTTTAAAAAGATTTTTTTTAAAAAGAAGTCTATTCATCATGTTTCAGCTTTGAAGCATGATGAATAGACTTCTTTAAAAAAAAAAAAAAAGTCCCCTATCTTTACTGACTCGTAAACATTCTGAAACACTAGCTTGGAGATGAGACAATGTGACAGTTCCTAAGATATTAATGCTAACATTTGATGACACTTTAAATGGAAACATTAACTTTCAGTGGTGGTTAAATTTAGTAGAAACATCAAGGCAGTGTGCTTATTGGTCCTGGGACATAGTGCTAGATACAGGGACAGGGTGCAGTGGGGCAGCTCATTTGTTTCAAGGGTTGCTAAAGTTGGGAATGAGCAATTCAACCCCCCTCTTACACTCCCACCAAATCTAGTCTCCTCTGCCTATGCCCAAAAGTGATATCAACTTTCTTGTACCAAAAACCTCGACTGCTTCCTTGACACGAACAACAGCCCAAGACATCTCAGATGCTTTCCTAAGTGCCAAAAGTCCCAAGCATTCCTTTCTTAGCTACTTTCTCCTGACATCTGCAGTGCAGTTACTCATTGTTATAAATGATACGTAGTATACTGGAATTTTTAAATTTGAGGAAAGTTAATATAAATATATTAAGCACATACTAGGATGATTGGATTGGACTTTGGGTAGGGAGGGGAGAATATTGTGGAGGGTCCCTGATGCATAATTTAGGGCAAATGTACTGCACAGGAAAATGGAAGGTAGATCTTCTAGTTAACATTTGGCAAACACCTTTGTTCTTTGGAAAGAACATTTGAAAATATCAAATATAATAGTTATTTACCATCTACTACACTATACCAGATACATAAGTTATGTATCATTATGTTCATTTATTTGCATTGAGAAGACATTAAATGCTTTGTTCAGAAAGAACGAAAGATCACACAATGGTATCTTAAAACCATTCACTGTGTACAGTCCTCCCCACAAATTAAAGGATGTATCTTTATAGTTGTGATAAAACAATTTACATGAATGTGATTTTTTTTTATTATCACTGGTCCCTTTATGGTGGCAAGCAATTTATTAATGGAATAATCAGATTGTTACAATTAAGTCTTTGTGTAAAATGCAATTTCTAATAGTTAATTAGCACATGTTAAAATACAATTAACAGTTGCACTGTAGGTGTGTCCTGAGCTATGTTTGCAATTCTGAATAAAAGTACAACTGCATCATCTAGCCAGTACAAACACCACCGTAACTCATAACTTAGGGATACATCTTGTAAAAAGTTGCATTGGGTTTTAGTAAGTTATGCAAGTCCATTCACTTTACTGTGAGCCGTAATACTTAAAAAAAAAAAAAAAAAAAAAATCAGTGTTTTGAAAAATTTCTTACTGTTTTGATGAAATATTCACATTGGTGAGAAACCTGGAGAGATAATGTCATGCCACATGACACACCTAATTAAGTGCCTCAGAATGTCCCATATATTTTCTTATGGTACTGTTGAATAACTATCATACACAACACAACCTGAATTTTTTGCAGCCCTCTTCATTTGGCTATTTAATTATGAATTATGCAAATTAAATATCTTTAATAAAGAAAACATTAATGCGTTTATTGCTGTTGTTTACCAGGAAGGCTATTGCACTATAAAGGAAAATGTCTTTTTTTTCAAAAATATTACTGCAACCAGAAGTTGAAGAATACCTTGGGAACGTGTTTAGAAATAAGGAGGTATGTGATAAAGGTAACTCAACCAGTCAGCCTGTGTAAACAAATTTGCCTTTCACTTGTTGAATGCTGAACTATGCAGACTTTTACAATCTTTTAACTTTATTTTTTGTATGAAGTTACTGATAAATGCCTCGCACAATAAAAGTGTATCTTTAGTATTTAGAGTTAGAGAGATCTTTTCAGCAAAGGGTTCTGATCCTGTAATGACCTCCATGCAGAGCATCATTGACTTCAATGGTCCTGTGTGGATTCAGGAGTCTGACTGTACACTGCTCATTGAAGGATTGGGGCCTAGGATTGTTAATTCCATCTAGAAGTTATAAGGACTAGTCTAATGTGTGATTTATAAAAGTATGAATATAGGTATAATATGAAATTTTGTTTTTAAACTTTTTGGGATTTTTAATAAACTGAATATACTGTTAATAAATGTTTAGTTAAATAACAAGTTCCAAGAAAACTCATATTGGGGTATCACAATCTACTAATTCTAGTCTTCTTTAAAGTCTTCCAAGATCAATCATCACTACCACCATCCCCCCATCAAAAAGAAAAAAAAAAACCACCCACCACTTCCCACAGAGTAAACAAACTACCTGACTTTCTACAGTTTAAAAAAAAAAGAAAAAAACAAAATTTTTCAAGGCTTCTTCATCCATCACACAAACTCATCACAACTTTGAGTTGCAGTCTGCTTTTTTTGTCTCTGTATACCTGTTGCTTTGTACAGCAAGCTAAGCATACCACTTAATAGAGCAATATCAAATCAATGAAGATTAATTCTGATGCCTGTTCCAATATCAGATTGTTTAGAATACTCTTGCTCAATAAATAGACTGGTCTTTTCAGCAGCCAGACTCTGCCCTCAAGTGTGCGTATGTGATTCTCACTGAAGTCAGTGGGAACTGCACATGCATCTGAGTGTCTATTACATGACATATACAAAGTAATAGTTGATTTAAACTTTTTGAGTACAGCAAGCACTACTGCATGAAGCCTTTTATTATTAATATATATCTTTTTTTCTTTTAGCTCATAAGTGCTTTAGGCACTCTGGAAGCAGAGAGGAAATATGAATCTCTGTTAAATTGTCTATCTCATCCTCCAGCTTTCACAACTGTTAGAGTTAACACTCACTTGGCTTCAGTGAAACAAGTGAAAAATCTGCTGTTTGAAGAGATCCACAAGGTTTGTGCAGTTTTGTTTCCTGGTTATCACTAAAGATAGCTACATGATTTCTGGTTTTGTAGCTGATTGCAAAAGCCTTTTTTCAAATAATGGAAACAATTCCTAAACTTGGTGGGTATGTCTACTTTCAGTTTGGTGCTGGGATTAAAATCCTGTTAGCACTTTCAGAGTCACATGGAAACATAGGTAGAGTCTGTGAGCAGCGGCGGCTCCAGGCACCAGCGCTCCAAGCGCGTGCCTGGGGCGGCAAGCTGCGGGGGGGCACCCTGCCGGTCCCTGCGAGAGCGGCAGTCAGGCAGCCTTCGACGGCTTGCCTGCAGGAGGTCTGCTGGTCCTACGAATTCGGCGGTGGATACGCTGAAGCCACGGGACTGGCGGACCTCCCGCAGGCTTGCCGCCGAAGGCAGCCTGCCTGCCGTGCTTGGGGTGGCAAAAAAGCTAGAGCCGCCCCTGTCTGTGAGTTAAGTCCAATACTAGTCAATATCTGATACATCAAAGGAAGTTAAAAATACCCATAGTGCCCTCGACCAAAGGTGCTTTCATCAACAGGAGAAAAGACACTTTTTTTTTTTTTTTGGCAAAGTTCTAAAGAACTTGAGTTTAATTGTAGATAAGGTCTAATAAAAAATACCAGCAATTGATTCAGAGAAACATAATTTCTCCCTTTGCGTTTTCAAAACATGCACATTCCTTCAGAAATTTAAAATCTATAAATAAGGATCATATAATACTTGTGGATTATTTGTATTATAGTAGCACCTGTAGACCCCTAATTAGGATTTGGGCCCCTTTGTGCTAAATGCTTTACAAACGTAGAAGGAAGGCACTGCAATCTAGACAAGACAACAGAAATAGAAATTAGTAATCTGAGAAGATATATGCAACAAGTATAGAGCTTGCTTTTAATAAAAGGTGACAGAAAAATGAACTGATGTTGCAATGTCTTATTTAAAAAGTGTGTGAAATTGAACGAAACCAAGTATCCAAATAATTTGAGCGATTCCCCCCTGCTGGTGTAACTTATTACAAAATGCTTTGATGTTTAGTAAATTTTTGGATTTTTTTCTATTTATTTTATGACTGTCTTTATCTGACAGAGATAATTAATTGTAAGCCAGAAGGTCCGAAAATAAATTGTTTAGAAATCCTACCATATCTCTTCAGTCTTTCTGAGAAGATCCGGTTCTTCTATAAATAAAATATTGATATTGGTGGGTTTACAGACAGCAACTGCATGACAGGAGCTAAGACGTTTCTGTAATGCGAAAGCAGTTGACGCTACTCTAACTATTTCCTAGGAGGGTAATGAGTTATGCTTGTTTTATCATACAACTCGTTCTAGGAATCTGGAACTGGTATTTTAGTCAAATTTTTTGCTTTGTAAGGGAAAATGCTTTGCTAAAAACAGAGATACAGCTAGCTTCTCCATGATGATAAACACAGTTTTAATTCAAAGTATACTCCAAAAAGAAGCTATAACATTAATGCCTGTTTTAATAACATCACAAAGCATACAGATTTGTTTAGAAGGAGAAAATACCTCTTTATAAGATGCGCACTGATTTCCAGTTATTGGGATGTGTGGAAAGACACCCCTTATGAAAGTCTAGGAACAGTTTTAAAATGGCAACTCAGTTTAGAGCCTTTTCAAATTAATATGAAATCAGGTCCCTAACACTCAACCACAGCTTCTCACATCCCTCTCAGTTGAAATGAGCCATCAAAATGAGCATCATCTGAGATGTCAAATAGGAAAGATCTCCACATGAATACATTGAGCAAATCTTCATCTAATTTGAGCCTTTCTTTGGCTGTTATTAGTGATAGTGTGTCTGGCTGTTTGTAGCATGGCCCAGACTTCTAGTTCCAGAAAAAATAGGCTCCAGGAGCATATGAATGTTCAGGATTCACTCCTGTGCTCTGTAATGAATCCTGTCAATGACTCCTATTGTGGTCTTGGCATTTCTGAATGTACTCATTTATCTCTGTGTTTTAGCTTGAGTATTTATAATATACAGCATTTCCTAATGTAGGATTTCTCAGCTTCTCATCACTTAAAGAGACTATTCTACCATTCACAGGTATAAAGTGTGAACTGAAAAATAATTAATTCCAAGAACAATAAAGTACTTTTTAAAGCATTGTTGTTAATGTTCTTTTATTTTTTTAAAAATTCAACAGCAATTTAAAGGTCTTAGTGTGCCAATTCTTCAGCACCCAGAACTCCAGGACATCTTACTCATTCCTGTCATTGGACCCAGGTTTGTAATTTTAAGACTTTAACAACTAATTTGTGTTACTGAGTTTCACGATAGGTTTTACATTAACCATTTTTGATAACTTAGACACCATTAAAAAGTTGCAAGTGTTTATTAAGCCAAAATATGTAGTCTTGTCCTAGATAACATCAATTTTTGATCTTTCAAACTCCCTCAGAATTTTGTTATATTTTAAAAGACCATAATCATCTTTCTCCATTTATGATAATGGACTTCATATTAGTTTTCCCTACAGCAATTGCCCTGTGGCAGAGTATGTTAGGAGGAGGTAGATTATCTCTGCTGAAGAGCTAGGGACTGTTTGGCAGGGCTCCAAAGTATAGGGTCTTGCAGTAGTGCACAGTATTCCTCTGTTAGAAAACTTGTATGTACAAGACTCACATGAGTGTATTTAGGGAAGGTGGCATAAATGATAATGTTGAACAGGAATTCCAGAGTCACATTTATCCCCCTACACTGATGTCCTACACTATTCACACTTAAGCTGTTTTTTTTTTCTAGTTTTCATTTAGACAACTTTAGTGTTCCCTCATTGTTTGCCCTCTTTGAATTTTTCTATTGCTTAATTTGACTTCACAGTTAGAAGGATAATCTAAATGATCTTTCTTATAACGAGGCTTCAAAATTACACACAATTGTCAATTTTGAGTTTACCAAGACTATGTCAAGTGGGCTTGTAAACTATAGGGGTTATAAACAATACTAGTGTGTACAAACTGTACATTATGGTATTTGCTATTTCTCTTTTACAGTGTTGGACAGTACTTCATTATTTGTTGTCCTGCACGGACCTTAAATCCTTCTTTGAAGTACCAATCTCTAAATAGTCCACTATTTGTACTTGTCCTTGACAAGTCTGAGTCATTACCTTCCTTATTACCAATCTGCACACAGTTGCTATTAGCAAAATTCCCTGCATCCTGTTAAAATGTTTATTGTAATAAAGATTTATGGCAGTTATTAAATTTAAAAGGTCACTTTTTGAGCATCCTGCTTGAACACTAAGTTGTTACTGGCAGAGAAAGTGGAGAAGAATGATTTTCACATTTGTTAACTTGATTTTGTATGTTGGTATCAGATTTTTGGCAGTAGCAGTTTTGGGGCTGAATCTGCATTTTTCCAAGGACTGTCACTTGGTTTTATTCTTTACTTTTTTCAGGACTGAACTACATCTTGTAAGTTTGATATACAGTAGGTGCATATTTCTCCACCACCCTTTCTCAAACAGCATGTATGAACTGACTTTTTTTTCCTGAAATAGACTGATGTCAGCAGGTTTTTGTAATGAAATTACACTTTGTATCATCAGGAAGGATCTACAAAAGCAATCATCTGAAGTCATTGTTGGAGCCCAGTGTGGAAATTCAGTGCTACGAGGAGCGCATGTCTTTGTTCCAGGAATCATATCTGCTTCAAAATGTAAGAGTTAGCTAATATATTCCAATAGGATTTAGAGGCGGGAAACGACCATGCATTCCAGTTGACATCTAGTATCTGTTTTACTTTGGTTTTGTTTGTAAAAAACTTGCATGATTTTTCTTGCACAGTACATATACCAAAATGGTGAGTGCTACCTCTCCTCTTCTGTGCTGCTTTGAGTTCTCTCTCCTTTTTAGAGACTTCAGTTTCTTAACAGCAGGATTGTCTGTCATTGATATTTTTACATTCTTCTTCTTTTGACTTGAAAAAGGGTTTTTTACAAACATCAGATGTTTTCAAATGAGACATAACCTGACAAAACTGAAAAGTTAAGCCATTTTGGTGTATACCAGAGAGATTAATTTTGTAGATTTTCTAATAAGCTACAGTAGTTGCTATTAAAGTCAATATTTACCCTCAGTACTGTCTAAGAAAAGCACATCCAAGTTAGTAACTTCCCAATCTAACCAAGGGGAAATGTGGGGCACATGATTGATGCCTCTCTGTGGTTAATAGCCACTAATGTAGGAGCTATCATCTTTTGAAGCAATGGCAAACAAAGACACATTGACTTCATGATATCTTAGGAACATAAGAAAGTAGATGTAAAGGAGAACGGAAGCATTTGTTTTTTGTTTATTTTGCATTCCCTTGACATTGAAATTGGCATGTTTGATGTTGTAATAGTCCGCAGGGGTCGGCAACCTTTCAGAAGTGGTGTGCCGAGTCTTAATTTATTCACTCTAATTTAAGGTTTCGTGTGCCAGTAATACATTTTAACGTTTTTAGAAGGTCTCTTTCTGTGAGTCTATAATATATAACTAAACTATTGTTGTATGTAAAGTAAATAAGGTTTTTAAAATGTTTAAGAAGCTTCATTTAAAATTAAATTAAAATGCAGAGCCCCCCGGACCGGTGGCCAGGACCCGGGCAGTGTGAATGCCACTGAAAAGTGCCATAGGTTGCCTACCCCTGGTCTAGTGTGACAGCTTGACAATATCCTGAATTAGGCTTAATACCTTTGGGGTAGATCATATTAGAAATGCAAATGTTTATGTAATATTGAGAGATTGTATGGAACTTCTTTAGCAGGAAAACAAAATTAATAGAATCTCTGGAAGGTATGAGAAAGTTCAAAGGTCTTTTTGGAACAATATGTTTGATGTGGATATTCTAGGAAGTTCCTTGAAGTGAGGGGAAAGCAGGTTTTCCCCTCTGAAGCCAACATATTGAAAATAAGACGTGGGGAGAGAGACCTATTGTATAGTAATTACCTGCTTCTGGAATCTCCAGATCAAAAGGGCAGACTAAATTTTCCATGAGTATGCTTGTTCTGAACTGAATCTGTGATGAACTTGTAACCACAAGGAAACCCTTAAGGTGGAGGTGATGAAAGACTGCTCTTGACAGAGCCCATGTTAGAGTTGCATGAAATCTGGTAAGCTTATTAGTATCTGTGTTTTTAATATGTTTTCTCTGTAATGCTTTTTACCTTAAGTAAGAATAAAGCAGGCTTCCTTAGAAAGAACAAGGTGGTAACTTATATCTCTATACCAATCACTCCATTATCAGTAATACATTTTTTGTATTACTGAATTATCAGAAAAATCAAGCAGATTTAGGCAGATTGTCTTTGCTGGGATTAACACAGCGAAGGCAGGGAACTGTTCAGCCTGGACACATCCTGGTCAGAAAGGAGTGAGATGCGGGTCTCCACACCAGACCGGCAACAGCTCGGGTGTTGGAAGCCTGAGAGTGGATGCCCTTGCTGGATCACTTGGGGGAATACAGGTGCAGTTTCCCTGAATTGTGAGATCTAGTATTGATTTCTATTATTTCTTGGTGAGAAAAATCTTCCTCGTATCTAATTTATGGAGGTTCTGGAGTTATCATGCAAACCCTTGTGTCTCTCTCTTCCAGTGCCAGTGAGCTAGAAAATAATCTTCTACATATGCTCTTGAACAGTGCTTAGTTTTCAGCTTCATATTGAAACAATTTGTGCTATTTATTATTTAAACGTCAAACTAACTTTTATAATATAATTGTGGATGATTCACTTTGTTATTATCATGGTAGTGACTATGGCTGTGTTAACCACAGCTCTCTTTTTTTCCATCTAGATCAGCGTTTCACAAACTGGTGTCCGCGAGGGTACTCCAGGGGGTCTGTGGGCCCCGCTGATCAACTCCTCCCCCTCCCTCCCTCAATTCCTCCCCCACTCTCCCAGCACCTCCTGCACGTTGGGGAACAGCTGTTCAGTGGTGTGCAGGAGGCACTGGGAGGGAGGGGGAGGAGCGGGGATAGGGCATGTTCGGGGGAGGGGGTGGAAAGAGGCGGGGAAGAGGAGGGGTAGGGTGGGGCCTTGGGGGAAAGGGTGGAGGGGGGTGGGGCCTGAGGGGGGGAGGGGTTTTGGGGTCCGCAAAAATTTTTAAATCAAAATGGGGGTCCTCAGGTTGCTAAAGTTTGAGAACCGCTGATCTAGATGAAAGCAAATTTTGGCCCTGAATATAAAAAGCACTTATGCATGTGCTTAAATTTAGTCCTATTCAGAAAAGTACTTAAACTCATGCTTAACTTTAAGCATGTGCTGAAGTCCCATTGAATTAATACAGTGGCTCTCAAACTTTTTTACTGGTGACCCCTTTCACATAGCAAGCCTCTGAGTGTGACCCCCCTTCTAAATTAAAAACACTTTTTTATATATTTAACACCATTATAAATGCTGGAGGCAAAGCGGGGTTTGGGGTGGAGGCTGACAGCTCACGACCTTCCGTATAATAACCTCGTGACCCCCCGAGGGGTCCCGACCCCCAGTTTGAGAACCCCTGACTTAATATGTATACTTTCCTGAATCTAGGCATTTATGAGAAAACAAGTAAGTTGCTTCAACAATTGTTGAAACAGCTTTCATTTTGTACAGTTCTACTCATAAATATGCAAAATACTTACTGGGTGAGCAAGTGATTTATCATCATTGCGTACATTAGCACACAGCATCAAATAAAAGGGAAACATACTTCAATAGGACTTTAAAAATATTTTAGAGGAATTGCAGATAGGAAAATGAAGTAGGAGAGTATGCTGTCAGCCTGAAGTCAGGTACAATAAAGCCCTGTATCTAGAAATTGCACTCAGCACAGATGGTATAACAAGACATGAATGGTAGTGCATAAGTGGGCCTCTTAATCATTGATCAAGTTAAACAGATAAGAAGGAATCAGTGATGGAAGGTCTTTAAGCTTAGTTTGACAAATCTTAATTTTAAGCTTTGGGTTAGCCAATATAGCTGCCTGAATGGAGAGAAAACACAATTATTGCAAGTTATAACTAAAAATTCGACGGACTGCTGCTGTATTCTAAAGAGATAGACAGCAAGGGGAAAAATCTTTTGGCTGTACAAGTGAGGATGGACAAATAATTTGATGGGAGGTAAAGTTAAATATCTGTAAATTTTACAAATACTAGGTAGATGATAGCAACATGGAGTGTCAGTGTTTTGGGTATTGTAGTTATCCCAAGAAGAAAATTATCTAGTGTAGAATCTATTTCTGGCTACAAGAATTGATCACAAATATAATACAGTTTTGAAAAGTTCTAAAAGCATGTGTCTATAATAAAATGATCCTTTCCCTCGGGCATATTTAATCTAGCCCCTTGGTCATAGGAAAGAGATCTCTGAAACACAAACTCTAACCCTTTTGAGGAGCTTTAAACTGCCACATTCATTCCCAGTTCAAAAGCTTAGTTTTGCCTCTGTAGTTTTCCTCTAGTACAACCAGCCAGGCCCTTCAATAAAGAGATCCTAGAAAAGCATCTAGGGAGAAATCTCTAAGCGGGATTTGAATAATAGTTGCTCTCAGAATGAAGCTTTTACAAGTAGAGGCAGAGCTCAGCCAGTCCACATGTGGACCATGCTTTCTTACTGCTTTACTCCAAGCAGGCTTAACAGAATCTCCTGTACCAGAAACCAAAATGTTCAAGCTCTTCTAGGCAGCAGTGCAGCAAGATATTGAAGACAGTGGGACTACTTGTATTCTTATGATTAGGCACATGCTTAAGTACCTTGCTCAACTAAGTCCTTTACACAGAGCTGGCTTCTCTGTTATATTTTGTGTGCAGAAAATAATTAGGCAATGGGAAAACTGCCAGGTGACTTTGTGGACTAGCCAACACTGGAGATACTCAAAGCTCATCTTGACCTGAAATCAATATTGCTGTGATGCAAGGGGTTGAAATACATGGCCCATCAGAAGTCCCAGATGAGTTGGGCACTGTTCTCTTGCCAAATAATGCATTTTAAAAAAAATCTCTCTTTTCCTAGTTATGAAAGCTGGAGATGTGGTCTCTGTATACTCTGATATTGAAGGAAAGTGTAAAAGAGGAGCCAAAGAATTTCTGGGAACCAAAGTTTTTATTGGAAATGGGATTTCTGAATTGAGTCGCAGTGAAATCTTCAGTTCAGGTGGCTCACTCAAGTAAGTCCATAGTAACTGCAATGAGGATTAAGAAACTGCATTTATTTATTAAAAAAAGGTAGGAATTTAGAAATATTCTGTAATACACATAAAGGCAGATTGTGGCTTTGAATGAGATGCTACATTGGAGGCATGTGAGAAGGGACATTAAGGCAGTGGGAGCTTTGGGAAGAATTGTGGCTGACTGTAAAAATTCCTTCTGGGCTTAACAGCTGCTCTATGACCCCTTGAAAGGGTGCAGCATGCACTTCCTCCACCTGATGATGAAGAGAGAGAGCATCTTGGGACACTGACTCACCCCCCTAGTAAAGAGGGCTGTAATCTAGATTCTAAGGGGGCAGGTGACAAAAGGCTTCAGGTTAGGTATAAAAGAAGCTGACCTTAACAGAGGGCTGAAAGTTAGGAGGGATGGGGGGGAATGGCAAATTACAATAGGGTCATAGGAGTAACAAGAGGGAAAACAGTGGGGGAGTCTGCACATCTTAGATGACTATACACAAATGCAAGAACTATGGGGAATAAACAGGAAGAACTGGAAGTCTTAATACACAAGCAAAAGAGACTTGGTGGGATAAATCTCATGACTGGAATATTGGGGAAAAAAGGGTATAACTTGTTCAGGAAAGACAGGCTGGGGGGGAAAGGGAGGATACATTGCATTGTACCCATCAAGAATGTACGCACTTGTTCTGAGGTCCAAAAGGAGGTTAGAGGCAGGCCAGTGGAAAGTTTCTAAGTGAAGATAAAAGAGGAGGGAAACAGTCCAACAAATCAGGGGGAGGAGGTGGATGAGGTATTTTTAGAACAAACAGAAAGATCCAAAAAACAAGATCTGGTATTAATGAGGACTTTTACTACCCAGATATCCTTTGGAAAAGTAATATGGCAAAACACAATGTCCAGTAAGTTCTTGGAATGTGTTGGGGACGACCTGTTTTAGATGGTGGGTAAGTAAGCAGGAGCACTGTCATTTTAGACTTGATTTTGACAAACTGAGTATTAGTTGTGAAGGTGGAAGGCAACTTAGGTGAAAGTGATCATGATGTGATAGGCTTCCTGATTCTAAGGAAGTGAGTGAGAGCCACAGAATAAGGACAATTAGTTTAAAAAAAGCAGACTTTAGCAAACTCGGAGAACTAGTAGATAAGGTCCCATGTGAAGCAAATCTAAGGCAAAACAGTCCGGGAGAGCAGGCAGTTTCTTAAAGACACAATATTAAAGGCACAACAGCAAACTGTCCCAATGAAAAGGAAATATAGAAGAAAGAGGTTCATATGGCTGCATCAGCTCTTTAATGACTTGAAAATCAAAAAGGAATCCTACAAAAAGTGGAAATGGACAAATTGCTAAGGGGGAATATGAAATAATAGCACAAGCATGCGGGGACAAAAATCATAAAGGCTAAGGCACAAAATGAGTTACACCTAACAAAGGACATAAAAGGCAATAAAAAGAGGTTCTATAAATATATTAGCAACAAGAGAAAGATGAAGGAACGAGTAGGTCCTCTATTTAGCAAAGGAGAGCTAGTAATGGACAACATTAAGAAGGTTGAGGTGTTTAGCGTCTATTTTGCTTGTTTTGTCTAAAATAGTTAATTGTGACCAGATGCTTAACACAATATTAACAACCAGGGAGACAGAACACACTCTAGAATAGAGAAAGAATAGGTTAAAGAATATTTAGATAAGTTAGTCTTGATGAAGTTCACCCAGTACTAGCTGAAGTAATCTCAGAACAATTAGTGATCATCTTTGAGAACAGTTGGAGGAGGGGCGATGTTTCAGAGGACAGGAGAAAGGTACTGTTTGCCTGCTTTCAGAAGAGGAACAAAGATGACTTGGGGCATTATAGAATAATCAGTATAACTTTGATATTTGGAAAGATACTAGAACACAATATTAATCAATTTGTAAACACCTAGAGGATAATAGGGTTATAAGTAATAACCAATTTGGATTTGTTGGGAAAAAATCTTGCCAACCAATCTAATTTCCCTTTTTTGAGAGGGCTAGAGGCCTACTGAATGGGAGAAATAGTAGACATGATATATCTTGATTTTAGTAAGGCTTTTGACACTGTCCTACATGGCATTCTCATAAGCGAACTAGAGAAATGTGGTCTAGATGAAATTACTATAAAGTGGGTGAACAACTGATTGGAAAAACTGTACTCAAAGAGTAGTTATCAATGGCTTGTTGTCAAACTGAAAGTACATATCTAGTGGGGTCCCACAGGGGTCTGTCCTTGGCCTGGTACTCATACTATTCAGTATTTTTATTAATGAGTTGGAGTGGAGAGTATTATAAAATTTGCAGCTGGGATTGGTCCATAGCACTTTGGAGAACAGGATTAGAATTCCAAACGATCAGGGCAAATTAGAGAATTGGTCTGAAAATCAACAAGAGGAAATTCAGTAAAGAAGTACAAAGTACTGCACTTCAGAAGGAAAAAATCAAATGAATAACTACAAAATGGGGAATAACTAGTTAGGCGGTAGTACTGCTCAAAAGGATATCTGAGGGTTATAGTAGATCACAAATTGAATATGAGCCAACAATGTGATGCAGTTGCAAAGAAAGCTAATATAATTCTGGAGTGTATTAACAGGAGTGTGGAAGCAGTCATATCTAAGAAACAGAAGTGAATTGTTCTTCTCTATATGGCTCTGGTAAAGCCTCAATTGAAGTATTGTGTCCAGTATGAACAAACTGGAAAGAGTCCAGCAAAGAGCAACGAAAATGATCAAAGGGTTAGAAAACCTGATCTATGAGGAAAGGTTTAAAAAAACCTGGGTGTGTTTAGTCTTGAGAAAAGACGTCTGCGGTGGGAGCTGATAAGTCTTCAGATATGTTAAGGGGTTCTATAAAGAGGATTGTGATCAGATGTCCTCTGTGTCCATTGAAGGTAGGACAAGAAGTATGGCTTAATTTGCAGCAAGGGAGATTTAGGTTAGATATTAGGGGAAAGTTTCTAACTATAAAGATAGATAAGTACTGGAATAGAATACTAAGGGAGATCGTGGAATTACCATCATTGTTGGTTTTTAAGAACAGGTTAGACCAGTGGTTCTCAAACTTTTTAGCAACCCGAGGACCCCCATTTTGATTTAAAAGTTTTTGTGGACCCCAAGATCCCCGCTCAGCCTCAGGCCCCACCCCTACTCCAACCCTTCCCCCAAGGTCCCACCCCATCTCTTCCTGCCCCTGCTGTACCCCTGCCCCTCCTCTTTCTGCCCTCTCCCCTGAGTGTGCCCCGTCCCCGCTCCTCTTCCTCCCTCCCAGCGCCTCCTGCACCCCGCTGAACAGCTGTTCCCTGGTGTGAAGGAGGCACTGGGAGGGAGGGGGAGAAGTTGATCAGTAGGGCCAGCAGCCCTGGACATGATTCCACCCCCTCCCCTGAGTGCGCCCCGTCCCTGCTCCTCCCTTTCTCTTCCAGCATCTCCTGCATGCCGCTGAACAGCTGTTTCCTGGCGTGCAGGAGGCGCTGGGAGGGAGGGGGAGGAGTTGAGTTGTTCAACGGGGCCCGTAGACCCTTGGAGTACCCTCATGGACCCCCAGGGGTTCGCAGACCCCAGTTTGAGAAACTCTGGATTAGACAAACATTGTCTAGGTATACAGTACTTGGTTCTGCCTCAGCTCAGGGGACTCTACTAAATGACTTCTCAAGATCCCTTCCAGCCTTACATTGGGTCAGCTCTGCCATGGCCCTTCCCACCGACTCCAGTTTTTGGGAAGCTAATGCTTCTGGTTTGCCAGTGGGATTGTGCCCTGCCCTCAAGAGAGGCGCAAGAGGCATGGAAAGCTCCTTGTGTCCTTTATTCCACTTGCACATCTGTGCAGGGCTAAGATAGCCACCGTCCTGGTCCTAAATCGTGCTATGTTGTTAATGCTTTTGTAGCAGCTAGCCCAAAAGAGCCTTGATGCTGACCAGGGTTTGTAAGTGCTACCATAGTATAAATATTTATTAATGATAATAATTAATAATAATAACAATCAGTTGCAGGATGAGTTGTAGATACTGATTTAGTGAATTCTGAAGACATTATTGGTTGGGAAACAAATGGATTTATTTTAACTAGCATTTGACAGTGTCACATTGAGTTTTGCCAAGTTAATAAGCAGGATGCAGCTTTGATAAACTGTCCTACAGCAACCACAAAGTTTACTTCAGTTTGGCCAGAAATGCAGCCTCACCCTTTTCCACCACCTTCCAACACAGATATTTTCAATTTTAAAGGAGCTGTATTTTAGGTTGACTATCTTTAATGAAATCTGTTATAACACTATTTGCCAAAGTATTTGTTATCTTCAAGCATGCTTGGCTTCTCCGTTTTTGCTGTCAAAGAAAGTGATTTGGGTTTTTTCCCTCCAGGTCTAGAAACTTGACCTATGAGAGAAGATTGAAAATACTGGGTTTGTTTAGTCTGGAGAAAAGAAGACAGAGGGGACATAACAACCTTTTATGTACTTGAAAACTGTTATAAGGAGGAAAAATTGTTCTCCTTAACTTCTGAGGATAGGACAAATAAGCGGCTTTCATTGCAGCAAGGGCAGTTTAGGTTGGACATTAAGAAAAACTCCCTAACTGTAAGGGTGGCTAAGCACTGGAATAAATTGCCTAGGGAGGTTGTGGAATCTCTATCACTGGAGATTTTTAAGAGCAGGTTAGACAAACACCTGTCAGGGATGGTCTAGATCGGGGCAGGCAAACTTTTTGGCCTGAGGGCCTCATCGGGTTTCGGAAATTGTATGGAGGGCCGGTTATGGGAGGGAGTCGTGGCCCAGCCCCCATCCCCTATATGCCCCCCCCCCGGGACTCCTGCCCCATCCAACTCCCCCTGTTCCCTGATGGACCCCCCCGGGACCCCTTCCCTATCCACTGCTCCCTGTCCCCTGACTGTCCCTGGAACTCCTACTCCTGACTGCCCCCTGCCACCCCATCCAACCCCTCCTCTTATTCCTGACTGCCCCCCCGGGATTCCTGCCCCCATTCAACCCCCCTGTTCCCCGCCCTCTGACTGCCCCGCCCCCTATCCACACCCCCGCCCCCTGACCACCACCACCCCGAACTCCCCTGCCCTCTATCCAACCCCCCCCGCTCCCTGCCCCCTTACCGCGCTGCCTGGAGCACCGGTGGCTGGCAGTGCTACAGCCGCACCACCCGGCTGGAGCCAGCCACGCCGTCGCCACCGTGTAGCACAGAGCACCGGGTCAGGGCGTGCTCTGCAGCTGCGCTGTCCCAGAAGCTCGCAGCCACGCCGCCCAAAAGATTGCGCCAGCAGTGGAGTGAGCTGAGGCTGCAGGGGAGGAGGAACAGCAGGGGAGGAGTCCCAGGCCAGGAGCTCAGGGGCTGGGCAGGAAGGTCCTGCGGGCCGGATGTGGCCCACGGACCGTAGTTTGCCCATCTCTGGTCTACATAATATTTAGTCCTGCCATGAGTGCAGGGGACTGGACTAGATGACCTCTCAACGTCCCTTCCAGTCCTATGAGTCTCCTACTCACATTCTTCTTTCAGCTTTTTAGAGTTTCTCAGATTTGCATATTAATAAATAATAGTAGTAAAACCTAGCATTTGTACAGCACTTCACATTTTTAAGTCATTGATCAGATATTAATTAATCCTCACAACACTGCTACAAAGTAAGTAAATTAGTAGTATGCCAGTTTTACACACGAGGAAACCATTCCTTCTTGGCTATTTTTTAATGTGCAAAATACAAAGGAATATTTTCTTTACTTTTCAGATCAGCCATTTAGTGAATCCAATGTGATGACATTTCAAAGAGTATTCATTAGCTTGGGTTATCAAAATTGTAAAAGGTTTATTTTATTTGAGTTGATTTTTATGTATTTTCACTTATGCAAAATTCTGTTCACAGTTACATAAGTATAACCCTGATGTCTTAAGAGGAATGTGCCCCTTTATCATTAATATCAATATTGCTGAAAAACAAAAAGCAGACCATCACCGGCCAAAGTAATATCAATTGTGTCACTCAGAAATTTTCTGAATGTCTTGTGAAAAGGTGATTATTAAGAGAACAAAGGAATATTTCCATGGCAAAATGTAATTTTAGAACTTTAGAACAGAGCAGATAATTTAGTGGATTCAGATTTAATGTGAGTTTCTTGCTTTTCAGAGGAATAGGTGTAAGAATGACAGACCCAGTCTACCTTAGTCCTTCGTTGGACAATGTGCTGTCCAGTTACTTGTTTTTGCAGGTAAGTGCATTACTAAATAGGGCTGTACAATTTTCAGAAGAATGAATATCCTTCAAGTGGTTCATTAGAACTCTAAAGGGTTTCCATTTTCAGAGTGCTTCCATAACACCCATTTCAATACTTTCTTCAGGGATGTTGGATATAAATAGGATATAGATCTGAAAAAGAGCACTGTGTAAGCTTGAGTCTTTAATCAACAGCAGTTGATCCAGAAAAAGGTTTCTCATCCACCTTGACTCCCCAATAGACAGAGTAAAGCATTTACAGGTGTCTGTTTCAGTCGTACTGAAACTGATTGTCTGTGACTTTAAAGAGATCCATTAAAAAAATACACACACACACTCTCTCTCTTTTTGCACAGCTTCGCATCTTCCGGGCAGTGCTTTCAGCTTCTGTTGGAATCTACATAAGAGCTCTTGTGTTTAGTCTGGAATCTGAGTCTGTTATCACATAAATTCCTATTGTGGTGATGCAGACTATTCAGTCAGGCGGCTAGTTTTAGTTAAAAACAAACCCACCACTTGTTTTGGCCTTTAAAAAAATTCTGTTGTAAACAAAACATATGGAAAGTCTTAAACGAACAAAAGCATTATGTTCCATGTGTAATTCACCACATTGTACCGTATTTCAGAAGTTCCAAAGTATAAGTGACATCTTGTTTGTGAGAATATCTAGTCATAGTGCAGGAGATTTAAGGACTATGTTACAGCCTGAATTTTTCCATTGTTGGTTTCAATGGGACCTTGTTGTTCTTTTCATATATTGTAGTTTTAAATAAATTCTTACCATCAAAAGTATTTAATTTAAAAATATTGTCCTCTTGGTACTACAGATTAAATATACTTCTGCAGCTTTTAATCACTGGGGAAAACTGCTTGGTTTATTTTTTTTTTTTGGACAAATTATATTATAAACTACTACCCATTCAGTGCAATTGGCAAACCAGTCTCATGGTGAGATATGGGACGATAGAACTGCAGTCTTTTATTTGTTGTTGGTTTGTTTTTTGTTTTAATATGGGGAGCAAACACTATCTTAGATAAGTAATAATTTTCATTTATGTTGGTCTAATTACACTCTGCACTTGACAAAGATCTCAACTAGATTTAGTTCCCAAGCAATTAATACTCTTTCTAATTTTGGTACAGTATTTTACATAAAGATCGTTCTCTAGTTTAAAAACAAAATGAAGATTACTTCTGACACCTTGTTTTAAAAATAAAAGAAAAATGGTTTCCAGTGTGTTTCTCAGCTGCAATGTTAATGTAAAACTTCAGCCCAAATAAACCATCATTCATAGCTGTTCTGCCTTTGATACTCTGAAATTGTTTTCTAATTTTGGTTGTATATTGTATAATCCTCAGACAGACGCTTTAGAAACAATTCAAACCATAGCCAGTGATAGCTGTGTCTGTGCTATGACACTGACAAATCCTGTAGCAGTGCACTATCATTTGTAATTTCTCTAGTAAGAATCAGTCCTCTGTTTGAGTTACTCTAATTTCTATACATCATGGTCCACATTTTCAAGGATGGATCTAATTTTTGAGTTCCCAATTGTGACATTACCCAGGGTACAATCTGGACTGTTGAACAGCTGTGCCCCCTTAATTCTCTAGCCTGTGGTGCCTTTTACACTGCTGTGCTGTCAAAACATCAACTCCTGGCCTGTTCACAAGGCATTCGGCATGCAGATTCACTCCCAGCTAAATACATGAGCACTCTGACCAGTCACTCATGAATTACATACAGGGCGACACCTGTAGTTTCTAGTCCCAGCCTTGTCTCCCAGAAATATGCATCTTGTACTGGTCAGTAGCCTTCTCATAGAAAATCCATCATTTCATTGATGGAAAATGATAATGCATCAACCTTATTATCCCAGATTGAGTTTCCCACATACTTTAACCCAAACAACACGGTTAAGATTAAACAATAAGATAAGTTTTTTAACTACAGAATGATAGATGGTAAATGATTACATGTAATTACAAAGAAAATAAAAGAGTAAAATGCAAGCTAATATCTATCTTAACAAGCTAAGTAAACTTAAAAGCAAAAGGTTTTGTCTGACCATATGCTACAGCAGTCTGTACTAACTGAAAAGCCTTCCAGCTAGGACCACCCTTCCCCCAGTTCAGTGATGCTTTTTATCTTTTGAGCGTTGTAGCTGCTGTGAGCAGAGATGGGGAGGGGCGGGGGAAGAGGTGAAATGGAGGCCACCATTTCTCATTTTTATACCACTCTCAACTCTGAGGATTACCCCCAGCTGGGGTCCAGGTGACAAGCAGTCTCTTGTGGACATGAGGTTTGAACCATTCCCCATGGTGAAATATAAATTTTTTGTTTATATCTTTCCCCCTATTGGGAGAGTGGCCACTTAATTAGGTGATGTTGGACTGTCCTTTGTTCCTGAGAAACTGGTTTGGGCTTGCTTTTCTTAGCTTGGAGTGTGTTACAGCAAAATGATACAGAAGAATCCTATAACTTTACATATAATGTTGATACACATATTTTACCAAGACAATAATGTTCAGCAGATTGTTTTCAAGGGATACTTTGCAAGGCATACTTTGTATAAAATTTATCATAGTCTTGTAAAAGTGGTGACCATAATAGTAGAGACCATCACACCACCTTTAGACACTTGGGGTCTGATTTTCAGAAATGCTAAGTAGCTGCAGCATCCATTGACTTCAGTTAGAGTTGTGGGTATTCAGCATTCTTAGAAGATGTCTGTATTTTCTAAAGATTGGCATCAAATACCAATACTCTATCACAGCTGTGTATGTCAATTGGACAATAAAGCATACACGCAATTTTGTTGAGTTCTTTTTCAGATTTTTGACTGAACTGGAAAACAGTATTTAAAAATATTTACATATAATTTAAGACAGCATATTATTTCTGCTTGGAGTGATTTCTCTGTGGATGCTCCACCTTAGGTGATTGAGCGCCCTGCGCCTCTAGTCATAAAATTTTGACAGCAATATCTGGCTGGTCTGCACATGCGCTCTCCTCATCTCGTGCCTGTTGCGGTAGTTAACTAGCGCTGCGCGGCCACCCTACCCCACCCCCTGCTCAGATCCTTCTCAACTGCCCTTGGTCCAAGTCAGAGCTCCAGCAGTGCCTTCACTTGCTTTACCTCAGAAGTGCTTGTTAGCAGTTTTTGTATATAATATTAGATTAGTGTTATTAGTACAGTTAGGCTAGTTGGTTAAGACTTTCTATTTGTTTTCTCCCTATATTAAAAAAAATAAATCTTTCCTTATAACTTCATCCCGTCACGGGATATTCTCTTTGAAATGTCAGGATCTCCTGGATTTAAACATTGTATCTCCTGCCGTGAGGTAATTCCTATCTCTGATGGACACTCACAGTGCGTCAGGTGGCTGGGGGAAACACATGTACCCCAAAAGTGTGCTCATTGCCATAATCTGAAGACCCTCCCAAGGAAAGCAAGGGACCTCAAACTTAAGCTTATTCTCATGGAGAAATCCCTCCATCCTGCCTCAGACCCAGGAACACAAACTTCTCCTGGTGACCAATCACCGAAGGTGGCTTCTGACAGATCCCCCTCCTCAGCTTCATGCGGGAGGGACCGGTCTCATAAAAGACCTGCAAATAGGAGAGCTTCCACTCCTCCTACCAACCTTGCATCTAAAAAGAAGTCGTAGCAAAATACCTACGAGTCGGCAGGGACTTCTGGTATCATCGGTACCGTTAAAGCCACAGACCCTAAGCAGAAAGAAAGAAAGATAGAAAAAAGACTGCCTTTTCCACTACAGCACCAGCAGCAACAACAAAATTCTCTGTACCGAGTGCCTCTGCAGTTTCTAAGGCACCGGTGCCACCTCCTGGCTGATCACTGATGCATCGGCACTGAAGCCTCCTAAGTCCTCAGTGCAGTCAACATAGGCACCTATCCCCACAGCGCTTCACTACCTCCTGGTACCGCAACAATTCTTGGCATCGCAACAAATGCAAGTACCTCTTCCGGTACCGAGAATACAGCAGTTCCTTGCATCTAAGGACCTGACAGTGACCCTGGAACCTGAGTCTGCTCTCCTCTGTACTGACACTACATCGGTGCTTTCAGCACCACGCACACCACCAGCTGCATCTGCCCTTCAACTCCCCCCCCACCCCCTGAGGACGACAAGGAGGGGGAACTCTCAGCATTCCTCTCAGCGTTCCTCGTCTCTGCAGACCAGTATCAAATCTGAGCCACAAGAGCACCCTAGGCACCATCCCAGACCAGACATACAGGGGTGGTATGGACACCCATGGGGGTCCCCACCTGTGCCTTTCCCACCATAGTGGTCATTCTACATCCCGCAGGCAGCATACAGGCAGTATTTTCCCAAGCCACCAAGCAGCAAGGAGAAATATATAGACACTCGTCACCAAAGCCAGTAGAACCATCCAGCATCTCCCAGGAACAGACTTTTGAGGAAACAGAGCAGGAATTAGAGCAGGAGGCTTTTCTTGCAACCAAATCATCTTCCTCATCTGACAAGACCATCATGCCTCTGCCTCCTACTACCGGAGAAGATTTCAAAAAGTTTCAGGAACTGTTTAAAAGAATAACTAACACGCTTCAAATCCCTCTTAAAGAGGTTTCTGAATCTCAGCATAAGCTCTTGGACATACTCCACACATTGACATCTTCCAAGATTGCCTTGTCCATAAACAAGGCCATTATGGAGCCCTCCACAACCATCTGGAAAACCCGGGCCACAATCCCACCTACATGTAAGAGGGCGGACAAAAAATATTATGTCCCTTCGAAGGGGCTAGAATTTTTATTTTCCCACCCCCGACCAAATTCTCTTGTGGTGGACACTGTTAATGAAAGAACATAAGAACGGCCGTACTGGGTCAGACCAAAGGTCTATCTAGCCCAGTATCCTGTCTTCCGACAGTGGCCAATGCCAGGTGCCCCAGAGGGAATGAACAGAACACGTAATCATCAAGTGATCTATCCTCTTGTCGCCCAT